CCGCAGATCATTTGTGACTTGGGATGGCTGCTCAGGCTTCTTATGCACTGAGTGACTTCGTTAGATTAGAAAAAATCGGTGAAGGTTTGTTATTTTACTTCATCACTTTAAATAAATACAGGCACCTATGGCGTGGTTTACAAATGTAGAAACAAAAAGAATAGCAAATTAGCAGCCTTGAAGAAAATTCGACTGGAGAATGAAGAAGAAGGCGTGCCGTCCACGGCCATTCGAGAAATCTCCCTGCTCAAAGAACTTTCTCATCCAAATATTGTTAAGTAAGTTTGCCTCGCCCGCATATGCCTACAAAAGCTTGCAACAGGTTATTATGGAGCGCGGCCGATTGTATTTGGTTTTTGAGTACTTAAATGTGGACCTAAAAAGGTATTTGGATGACCATGGACGACAAAATTTACTGGATCCCATGCTGGTTAAAGTAATTGTGTATTTGTTTAATGGTTTTAGAGTTTTATGTACCAAATGCTCCAAGGACTTTTATTCTGCCACGCCAGACGTGTCATTCATCGGGACTTGAAGCCTCAAAATGTGCTGGTTGATGTTCCCAATAAGATCGTTAAACTAGCAGACTTTGGGCTAGCTAGAGCCTTTGGCGTCCCAGTTCGTGTTCTTACGCATGAGGTAAGTAACTCTTTTCATTGTGGATCATTTCCGGAATGCATGCTAGATCTGTAAAAAATGACTCGCTGTTGTAAAACCTTTTCTCAGAAAAACTGACCTGGAAAACAACAACTACGCATAGCTATAATTTCGTATCAGAAATTAATTTTACTAAGCATTCCCTGGGGAACTCCCCGTCAGACAGAATTTTGCAAGGTTGATGGCGTCTGATTCTGAGCGTTGTTTTCGCTCTCTTCGAGTTGGTATCTATAATTTCCAAGTGTACTTTGATAAGGTAGCAACATTCAGAGTATTGCATTTTTTTGAAATTGCGTACTGATTAACTCTTTCATCTTCCACCTAGCAAACGCACAAGCCGTTGGTCTTGGCGTCACTTACAGTTTTCATCCCGGGCACTGAATTTTAATTTTTAAGGTACCCATGTTACCATCGTTTATCGTGTCCTTGCCAGAAAATATTTAATATTCTGTCGTACTGACCTTAAACAAACTTAATACTACGAAAGGGTGTGTTAATCATACTTCACCATCTCCGCTGTACTCGTTCATCCGTACCGTTAAGGGTCACATACTAGATGGTTTTGATCGTCCTACTCTCTTTCTCAAATAATTGATAAAAGATGACATCGTGACACTTATCAATTTTCGTTTTTTTATTTGAAGATGTGAATTGTCACTACCTTAGTTATGATCGGTTTTAGCCCGATTTTGGATTGCAACTCCCATTTCTGTCGCTCATTTTGACATCCTTCTACTGTTGAGAATATTAGGAGTGAAAGGGTCGTGCCAGTGAAGCGGTTTACAAAGAAAGTAATCGCAATTTTATGTGATTTCATGGGAAATTTAAATAGTTCAAAATATTTTATTACTTTATATCTAAAGCCTGTGTCTATTGGTCAATACTCCTCCATGCAGACCTACCGTATTGCTTATTTCCGGTGCTCTAGGACCCGGAGGTTCCGGTTACAATTTCCTTGTTATTTATACAAAGAGTCCAATGTTGATCTAGCGGCCTCAGCCATCTTGACATATTATAACTGACCAAAAATGATTTATTGTCGCAATGGAAGCAGGTATGGGCTCAGGTCGTCCTTATACATTTTCTTTCAAACCTGCTTCCCGGTATGCCACTAACAGCGCACTTGATTGGGTTCAGTATAAATAATAACAGTTCTTTCTGTTCCCACAGCCTTTACCTTAATCAACCGTTCTAACCAGGATTGCTGTCCTTTTGTCTTTCTTGCACCATACTTTTTAGGCTTACACTTAATCGATAGTATAGCAGAGAACCATATTTTCATTTTAATTAGGTAGTCACGCTTTGGTATCGAGCCCCGGAAATTCTACTCGGTGCACAACGCTACTCCTGTGCAGTCGACGTCTGGTCAATGGGCTGTATCTTTGCCGAGGTGGCAACCAAGGAAGCCCTCTTTCGCGGTGACTCGGAAATTGATCAGATCTTCCGTATCTTTCGTACCCTTGGTACGCCCTCGGAGGCGGTGTGGTCCGGTGTTACGAGCCTGCCGGAATTCCAAAAGAAGACTTTCCCTTCCTGGCCAGATGCGAAGCTGACTGAAAATGAGAAGATGCAGAAGACCATGGGCAGCGCCGGACTGGAACTCCTCAAGGTAGGCATTTTCGCTTGGAGCCATGCACTTTTTTCAATATTGGCTTCTGTGTAAACCATGAATTGTTCTCGTGCAAAAATCGCGTTAGGCCTGCGATGCACATACCACTGCAGGATAGGAACACAAAACAAAGCCTAGTGTGCTATCGCTCGGTTTACTCAAAAAACAAAACTCCTGTTCTCAAAATCTATCTGGTGAAGTCTTTGCATGTTGCTTTCTCTGATGTACGCAATGCCGTTGAATTATATATGATTTAATCGTCCATTTCAAGCTTTCATAGCGATAATATTTACTACTCTGCTCGGTGATGTATCGTTGAGTGAAATTTTATCCTGCTGCCCAACCTCCGAAGAAAACAGTCGCTTTAGTACTACTACTTTTGATTTATGTAGATCTTATTGGGAATAGACTGTAAGTTGTGTGTCAATAGACATCTCATTTTTGAATAATTTATCATTACAACCGAAGGCATGTTATTCGTCCAAAGCTTCATAGTAGTAGTTTTAGCTGACATAAAGTAATTTCAGATTGTTAGCCTTCTGCATTTCCTCTTCATATAAGATTTATAAATATACTACGTCCACGATGAGTAATAAAGGAGCCCTACTTTATCTCGCAAGACAAAAAAGTGGTGAGACCAGAAATATGTAAAAAAATTGTTCATTGACGCGTATATTTGTGTTAAAATTACAGCAGGAATTCAATGTGTCACTGTGGCCTTTTTGTGTTTAAGCAAGTACCCGATTCCCAGCGATAGAGTGTACCAGTGACTTGGCGCTGGTGAACTTCCATTCGATACAGTTTTTTCCTCTACGTTTATTTTTAAAACTTAATCGAGCTTGATAAGTCATTGCTTGTTTGTTGCTTCTTGTCCTTATGGGGAATTTTTATATTTCTGGAACCCAGTAGATCGTTGCGTGTCTGTTCGTGTACAGTAGATGTGCCTTTATAACAGCACTACATAATTTTGATGTAGATAAGACTTAAAAATAGGGATGCATATCTGATCGACTATGGCTGTCTGGATGAAAGCCATGTACATCGCGAATTTCACAGTGACTGCAGACCAGGCATTATAGCCCGTCAAAGGTTTGACTAGTATTGGTATTCAGGACTGTAACTTGTCATCGATCTCAGTGCTCTTTGCGTTCGTGCTGTCCAAGTAAGGGAACTGATTTACCCCGGCGAAGCTATTACCGTTAACATATACTTTGGGCTAGGCATATTCGATAGTTCAACTTTACGTATGGCAACCGTTTGTTGTCCGCCTATCAGGGACCGTCTTGATTGATAATGTTAAGGGCTTTGATGAGATCGACGAAGTTCTTGTAAAATATGGTCCCCATTTTCGTGTATTTGTTAGACAGCTGAAATTATGTCAGTGTTTCCATGGCTTTCCGGACTCTACCTTGCCTATTAGGAAGAACTTCTTCATCCAAATAGTGAGTTAGGCGCTTGAGTATTTTTCTAGCAGTACTGAGAACGAAGGCTTCTTGATAATTATTGCAAATTTTCCCATTACCTTTGCGCTTGCATTAATGAATTGCAGCTTGACGAAAGACCATTCTCTTTAAAAATGGAGATCGAATGTCGTAGTATAACCACTTAACAGGTACATCCATGTTGAACTCTGGTCCAAGCCTCGATATTGCGTTGGCTATTTCTTTCTAGGAGGGGGATCATACAACACTGTTTTACCTTCATTTTCCCCAGAAGAGGAAGAAGAAGTGGAGGCGATTCCT